GCGAAAGAAGGAACTTTTGCTAACCGACCCCGACAAGGTCAAAAACAGCAATTGACCATCAGATCAGCTATAGTGCTAACTTCACAGATTTCTCCGATTTACTCGAATTGGAAGAATTACGAGGAATCCTCTCATTTCAGAATGAGGTAAAAAGAGCACCTAGAAAACTGCAAGAATTTGTGGAGCCTTTTGCACGCCAGCACGGGAGGAGCGCTTCTGCGCAAGAACGGCACGAGCGAAACCAACCAGCGGGACCTCATGAAGAGGGGTATTGCAACTGTAACGCGGTTCAAGTTGCAATCTCGGCGCATCGAGCCTTGCGCGACTGGAAACGTTCCCTTATCTTAACTTTCTTACAAAACCAAATGCAACATTCCAGTCGTGCGAGGCTCGATGCCTCGAACATATAAGCACGCCAGAACGAAGAATTATTTTGATGTTCTCCACGCTTCCTCACGCAATCCACGCTTCTATTACGCCTTTTATATCGCTCTTTACTACGCTTTTTATAATGCTCTTTATTACGCTTCAGGAATGCTCATTTATTTTCTTGTGCTTTATACGCACATCTCGTATCGATGCGCCATATCCTCGACGGTTTGTGCCTTTTGCATGTATGTTGGTTCATGTGTGTTGCCTTTTTTGTATGTACTTGTTATGTTTCCTATTCATATGGTTTAATTACCCAAGTTTGAAGAATTAATAAACCTCGGTTTCACGTGTGGTGTATTGTAAGGCCCGCGTGGCAACAACGGTATCAAGAGCACATATCAATATCGAGCCCGACACAACCCACCACAAGGAGGGCGAAGAAGAGGAGCCCCTCAGAGAACACGAGGAATCAGATGCAACAAAGAGTTCAGCTCTACGGGAAAGAACTGAGCGATGAGGAACTCCGCGCGCAGAACAAGCCGGAAACGTGGCAAGAGGAGTAGTGACCGCTCAACAGGGGGACCACCAACAAGGGGGAACAGTATTCCACATCAAATTGCAAGAACTATACAAAGATCTCTTCAGAGGGAATATATTCGAAACTGTTATTGCACATATCGGTGTGATGGAAGGCAGAAAAGAGGCCTCCCTTTAGCCATATCTTACTGACATTGGCCGGAGATGATGAAGCAAGGAGCGTTGCTGAAATGGACGCTATTGTGCAAGCTGTAATACCCGATGCTGGGACAGAACCACGACTTCATCGAATTGTAACGACTTGCATGATGCATAGGCCCTGTGTTTTAGCTTATGCAAGTTCGCCGTGTATGAAAGATGGCAAGTGTACAGAAAGGTATCCTTAACCATTCAGAAAAATGTAGGTAGACGGCTTTCCCGATTATCGGCGACCAAATGATAGCAGGACAGTCGAGCACGGCAACACAACACTGGACAATAAATCTGTAGTCCCATATAATAAGTATTCAGCACTTTCCTATGGCGGACATTAAAATGTCGAGATCTGTGCTATGGCTCACGCAGTGAAGTACATATATAAACATGTTTATAAAGGCCCAGATAGAGCGGCATTGCACGTGATAAGAACAAGTGGATAAGAAGGGACTGCCAATAAAATCGACGCTTTCATCAATGCTAGATATGTCTGAGCAGCAGAATCTGTACACAGACTGCTGGGAACCGACCTACAATTTAAATCTCACAGTGTCTACAGATCGTAGGCTCATTTGCCAGGAGGTAGGTGTAGTATGACAAGGCTGTCAAGAGGAAGAAGCTCTCCGTAGTGCTGCAGAGCGCGACACAACTCTCACAGATATTTTAGTTCGAAAGCAGAGCATGAGGGCGCGTACGGAGTTGGAAATGCACTGCAAGAGCAAGTTGATGCTCGAACAGTTCTCTATGCCCAGCTGTCAGGATATTTCACATTCGGTCTACAGACTAGAAAGTGGATCGTAAGAAAGAAACACTGCCGTGAGATAGAAAGAATGTATGCGAGGGATCCTTTAGAAGCCGAGCGTTACAGTCTCCGCATTCTTCTTATTAACGAGTCATTCGATGGACTTAGAACCGTAAACGGGTTGACCTACAGTAGTTCCAAAGAGGCTGCGCTTGGGCTAATGCAAGATGAATCGCACTACGAAAGTTGCCTAAAAGAAGCAGCATTATTTCGAATGCCACCAGAGCTGCGATCACTTTTCAGCAGCCTTGTTTGCTATTGTGACGTCACAGAGCCAGGACAAGTATGGGAACAGTTAAAGTATACTATGGCCGAAGACTACGTGCATCGTGGCTTGAGCGATGAAGAAGCTATTATCCGAGCATACTATGACATTGCGGACAGATTGCAGATATGCGAAGTGAGTTTGAGCAGTTTCGCCACTCCTCGTGCTGATTGAAGGCAAGGTTATATCGATGAAGATTACGAAAGGTAACAGCACATGCAGCACGAGGAAGAGACCTGCTTGATAATATGAATGTTCATCAAAAATCAGCAGCAGACGACATCCTGCAATAGATGCAGGACCTGTCGGAAGACATTTCTTCGTCGATTGCCCAGCTGGGAGCGGAATTTTTTTTTGTAAACAGCTCTGTACCATATCCTCCTGGGGAAAGGAAAAAATGTTGTATGCGTGGCTTGGACAGATACTGCAGCAAAGCTGCTTGCTCAAGGTAGAACTGCAAGCAGCACATTCAAGTTGAATATTCATGACGGCTGCAGACTAAGCACGATGACAAGGGAGTTAGCAGAAGCAAGAGCACTACATGACATTGCAATTATTTTTTGGAACGAAATCTCGCCTAAGTGGACATTGGAAGCGATGGTGCTGAGGGATATTATGCAAAACGTTTTCTTTTTTGAAGGCAAGAGGAGGGAGACTTTCGACAGGTTCTCCACGTTGTGGAGAAAGGGCGACACGAAGATTTAGAAAACGCGTGCATAAGGAGGCCTCATTTTTAGCAGAACTTCATTACCTACCACCTTTCCATCAATATGAGAGCTGCAGGGGATAGAGGCGGATGGGCAAGGATGTTGTTACAGATTGGAGAAGGAAGATATCTAAAAGATGAAAATGATTTTATCGAGCTACCTTCTGCTCTTTATAGTCAAGAAGATTTTATACGTGAGGTCTTCGGTGAAACCATTGCAGTAGACGACATAGTGGAGTTAGCGGATAAGACAATACTTGCTCCAAAAACATCCATGTAGCGCACATGAGCGATCTCGTACTAGAGTGAATGCCTTCGGAGCTGGAACTGAGAGTATACAAGAGCACTGACGAGGCGGAAAGTGCAGACCCAGAAGATGTGCTCATTTATCAAGTGGAGCACTTGAACAAGTTGCAGTGCCTGTGCACGAGCTCAAATTGAAGCAAGGATGCGTCGTCATGCTGCTCCGTAATCTAGACGTATCCGAATGTCTATGCAGCGGAACAAGAAATATTGTGACCAATGTGGACAATACTTGTTAGATTGGACAATGCAATACGGCTCCTGGAACAAGGAAAAACGAATTTGTTCTCAATTTTGATTCTGGCAGAAGTAGGAATATACCTAGGTGACAATGTATTCTCTCGTGGGCAACTATATGATGCTTTATCGAGAGCTCGGATGCCGACTCGGTGAAAGTTCTTCCATCGGAAACTAAAATCAAGAATATTGTATACAAAACTATTTTGTAGAAAATGTTCCCGATCCAAACTACTACCAAGCACCTGAAAACTGCTCGACACCAAATTATTGCATTCTACCTGATCACCATTCTCTGTAAAGTTTCGTATTATTACATCAGACGACATTGATGCAATGACAACAAAGCATTATATTCGGGTTCGTATGCAATTATGCCTTCTCTTTTCAACCTACCAGATTTCCTTTAACTGAAGTCAGGTCTCCTCTCCAAAGCTTTCAGCTTTCATAGTAAGCAACTTCATCGTTATGATTTTCAACTACTCGGCACTGCTCAGAGCTTTTGATCCAGAGTTTCTACTTTCACTTCATTCAATATTCTAACTTATTAAAGTGAGTTGATCGCAGCCGTAAAATATTGTTAGATACCATTTTATGGTGAGTGATTTCATTACTTTGTGAACTACTACTAAAAGTTTTAGAAAAAGGTGCTTTTTGCCGCTACAGCTCCGCCAAACGTAAAAATCTTCAGGCCATGTTCATAGTTAGTAGATAGAGTTAGTGGAGCTTACTATACGAGTCTGCTCTGAGTTCTAGTCCGAGTTTCTTCTGCCGCTACCGTTAGCCCCGCCAGTTTAAAAAACCTCCATACCACCTCAATGGTGAGCAAATTCACTATTTTGTGAGGCTTACTATATAAGTCTACTCAAAAATTCTTACTCAGTCTCTTCTGTCTCCAATATTAGATCCGATCCGCCACAAAAAAAATATTCCATACCACCTCTATGGTGGCAACTTCACTGCTTTGTGAACTTACTATCAAAGGCTCCTCGAAATTTTCACTTCAAAACACCTTTTGCCGTTACAGTCCCGCCGATCGAAAAAAGCCTTCAGGCCACCTTCATGGTGAGAATCTTCAGTTTTGGGGGCTCAGTAAACGAGTCTACCCTATGTTTTCAGTTCAAAGTGCTTCCTGCCGTTAGTGTCAGCTTCGCTTATTCAGGAACTATTCACCGTGCGCAATGCTTCCAGAACGAAGTATTATATTCTCGCCGTCGGTTCCGACGATCGGAAAAAATCCTCCATCCCATTTTCATGGTCATTAACTTCAGCTTTGTGGGGCTTTTTGAACGAATCTACTCTATGTTTTCGTTTCAAAGAACGTTCCGGCGCTACAGTCCCTATTTTGAAGATCACCATCAGAGCCTACTTGAAGTTTTCATTTCCAAGTACTTTTTGTAGCTACAAAATCCACCGAACGAAAAATCCTTCATGCCAACTTCATGGTTAGTAACGTCAGCTTCGTGGGTCATACTGGACGAGTCTACTCTATGTTTTCAGTTCAAAGCTTCTTCTGCTGCCACTCTTTGTTCCGCTTACTCACAAAATGTTCCGTACCAGATCACATTATTTCTTTGTGAAGCATATTGTCAGAACCTGCTCAAAACTTTCAGTTCAAAGTACCTCCGCTTGCTACAATTCCCCCCGACCGAAAAATCCTCTATTTCATTTTCATGGTTAGTAACTTTAGCTTTGTGGTGCTTACTATACGAATCCACNTTCAAAGCTTCTTCTGCTGCCACTCTTTGTTCCGCTTACTCACAAAATGTTCCGTACCACATCACATTATTTCTTTGTGAAGCATATTGTCAGAACCTGCTCAAAACTTTCAGTTCAAAGTACCTCCGCTCACTACAATTCTCCCCGACCGAAAAATCCTCTATTCCATTTTCATGGTTAGTAACTTTAGCTTTGTGGTGCTTACTATACGAATCCACTCTGAGTTCCCAGCGCAAGTTTCTTCTGCCGCCACTGTTGGCTCCACCAAGTCAGAAATCCCCCATACTACCTCTTTTGTGAGTGAATTTACAATTTTGCAAGGCATACTATATAAGTTTACTCTGACGTCTCAGCTCAGTTTTCCTTCCGCCGCTACTGTTATTTCCGTCACCTCAAAAAGAACTCCAGACCTTTTTCATCATGGGTTACTTCAGCTGTAGGGCTGACGTACAAGTCTACTCAATGTTTCATTTCGAGGTTTCATCTACCGCCACAGTTTGTTAAACGTTCTTACAAAATACTCCATACCACATTCATAGTTAGTAAATTACTGCATTGTGAAACTTACTCAAAGTACTTTTGCTGCCACAGTACCGCCGACTTGGAAAATCCACCACCTTCATGCAAGATGGCTAATTTCAGTTTTCTTGGGCTACTTATATAAGTCTACTCAATGTTCTCGCTTTGTAAAAATTACTATCGGAGCCTACTCAAAGTTTCTAATTCGGAGTACTGCTACAAAACCCGCCGATCGAAAAATCCTTCATGCCACCTTCGTGTTTAGTAACTTCAGTTCTGTAGGGCATACTATGAAAGCCCGCTCTACGTTCCAAGATTAGGATCCGTTTGGAACTTCGGTCGACATCATACAGGGAGTACACCGGTTTTAGGATTTGACAGGAATCTCGAATGTTCCCTAATCTCACGTAATCCGAACACATTATATATCCTCTTCTCTACGATTATTCTCCGATGATCATTTGCGACACGATAGAGTGAGGGTCGAATGGCCTGATTCCAAAGGTTAGGAGCAAATCTACGTTTTAATCGAGGTCCTTTTGCTTCAATAACAAGTCGATTGTTCAGTGCGAACTGTATTTTTTCTCTGCCTCGAAATGATTACCGGAATAACCACTTCTAGTGTTGCGCTCGATGAACTCAACGATATAACTTCTACTCCCATTGACCTATCTGTAAATCGTCAGTACAACAGCGTGGAGGAACTAAAGCGGCGAGCTTGGCTGTTTGACAACCAATCGACGAGACAACTATTGCCAACTTGGTTCAGAATATGTCGAACAGAATGTTCGAGCAGATCAGGAGTTTTGGAGGGTGCACCGATTACTGATCTTAATCTGTTCCCTTGTTTTGTATAGTGTCCACATACTTATGTTACAATGTTTTTCCTCAAATGAAAAAAGTAAAAGTCGTCATACCTTTCTTTTCATTGTGATAACCGAACATTACGTAAGTCACGATGCCTCGTCAAACGAGAGGAGAATTCGAGGAAATAGCTACGATGTACAGATGGAATGACCAACTATCAGTTCCAGAAGACAATCGAAAGTCATTTTTTCAACTCTATTCATTAGTCACTTAATTGATCTAGGGCTATTCTTTTTCTTCGATTTCTTTTGCGCATACAAACACAGTTTTCCATTGAATCTTCTTGCATCTCATTGGTTTTGAAAAATTCCGTTGTCGATTTCTCCCGCTGTCGGTCAACGGAAAAAAGCGGCTGTCGATTGACTAACAAGATACACGCCTGCTCATACGTCGTTGTGTTTATTCTTCGTCGCGATGACGTTACTTATGCCCATTATAAACACTCCACGAAGAGGCTTATTCACATTAGAAAGTCTATTCAGAGATGTAATCCATAGAAATCATGGGAAAACCTAGAACAATACCTCAAAGGCTTAACAACGAATCAGAGACACGGATTCGTAATATGTACGAAAGACAACTGAAATTGAGTATGTATGTGTGCAGTTTGAAATGTACAGAGATCTTAACACCCGTACGAATTACACAGCTCAGAAGAACTGAGAGTGAGTGAGCAACTTAAGAGGTAGCTCGGTTTGTGAAGGTCGAGCTGAAGGCTGATTTACGATTAGAATTCTCATCGATGATTAGTGTTCCCGTTTCCTTTTTGTACGACTCTGACAGAGGCAAAACTTTTCGATGCCAATCAGACGTAATGTGAGCGAATTGGCAGCTGTGGCATTGGAGGCGGCAGTGGCGGTTCATGCCATGACTCTCGTCGAGGAATCGACTCCTTTCGACCGGATTCGTCATTCTGAAATTGTAGCGATTACACGAGTTTTCCAAACTAGCAGTAGCGTTCTTGGAAGAGAAGTAAACAAAAAGAATAAACAAACAAGCAGGGCCAGAGAGGTCGCGCACTCGATCAAGCTTTACCTTCGTACATCCTATAACCTGAAATTGACCGATCCCATTTCCACATAACGGCTTGTTCCCAACCCAATCGCTCAGCCTCCTATATCAATAATTAGAGAATCACTGCACAGAAGGAGCCTCTTAACGCTGCATTACATCCACCCTCACCCATTTGTTGCCCTAAATCTGCTCATAATTACCCGCATCATACTTTTTGTTCTGAACATTCACTCAATCTGAAAAACAAGCGTTTCTAGGAGGAATGCATGGCGGTAATTAGGGAACAATCTCACTTGCAAGGCCACCTAATGGCTTCAACATGGCATTCCTCAGTCATGAATTTCCCTCGACCTAATCACTTTCCCCACTGAATCTGCACAGCCCTAATATCTTCTGCCTGCAAACGTGTGCTGGAGCATATGTAGGAAGATCTCATGCATTTCGGCATAGCTTCACTTCAAAAGCTGAGCACGAATCAGGGCAACCAATAGAGACTAGGGATATTGAACTTTTGTAACCTTTGTGACGTTTGAAATAGTGGGAGAAGGAGTAGGGAAAAACTTTTTGACATTCGCCTTTCGCCGTTTGCCTTCCTAACCTCTTTGGAACTTCTCCTCTAAGGCCATTACTTAAAAAACAAGGCAAATGGTCAAGTGGGGCAAGGACGCAAGAAAAACGCTCAACGTTCTCAACAAAAACTCACACTCTCCCATTCCCCTCGTTCGGAACTCTCGACTTTCTCGTCTAGAACCGGCTTCCCACTCCTCCGGAGAAACATCAGCCAAAGCGCCTCCGTAACCTAAACATTTATCAGTTCAAGGAAAAAAAATCGAAAATTGCATGCATTCAAAAAGAAAATGAAAAGATGTACCTTCGCGCAAGTGAGATTGCCAGCATGACTAGCTATCATCTGTAAAAGGAACACTCCATCGGGTCGAAGAAATCGGTCGGTGAATCGTCCAATCTGATCAGACTCCATGTCGAGGTGTTTAGCAACGAAGTTCTGTCGGCAGTGGGCAGATGAAAGGGCACATAACCAGAAGAGCAAGTTCATCACGGTGATCAATCCGAGCACCTGCAGTGGTTACCGTTGCCAAGCTGATAGGCTGGGATGATTGTTGGTTACAGTAAGGCATCGAAGGCTCAGTTCACAATATTGCTTAGGTAATTAGCTAGAGCGGAACAATTAGAGCTAGGATATAGGATAGTGCAAAATAGTAGAAAAAACGCAAAAAACGCGGATTTCGAATAATATTTGGATTCAANATTTCCTTTCCGCATACAAACACAGTTTTTCATTGAATATTCTTGTATCTCATTGGTTTTGAAAAATTCCGTTGTCGATTTCTC